CACAGTCATGCTATAACTTAAACAAACGCGAAAATTCATAATGGACGATTCACACGCTTGACTCAATTGTCCGTCTCTATCTCTGTTTGCAATTCAATTCCCATCTTGCCGTCACTTCTTGGCGGTCTTATATACAAGAATACCGCACATCTAGTAAACACTCGAGAATTCATGAACCTTCGAGAATATCATGACGTGTTACTAGAATCACGTGACTTCCGCTGTCGTAACAATATTGATACCCTGTAGTCATACTGTTAGGTTGGGCTGCCATTAAGTGTTTAGAATTATAAACATTTTGAGAATGCCAAAAGTTTATTTAATAATAATATTAAAACATTTTGTCATTAGTTATGTGACTTATAGTGTAGGACATTAACTTTAAAAAGGAGGATAATAATTAAAGAATTGCTCCCTGTTTTAATATTAAAAACTTTAAGAGCACCATGTCTACCCATATACATATTTATGTTTGTTTTGCTGCATACTAGACTTTTAATTGTACTTTTGATTCAGACATATTTAGCAATAAGATTTTTATCTTGTACTGTAGATGTATACAAATAAACAGCAAGAGCTCATTTGTTGTAAGTCCAAAAGCTAAAAAGAGCAAATGACTGATGTTGACTTACTTATTTTAATCTATTCTCATCTCCAATTATACTTAACTAAGTCTCTTGCAGCCATGTAACTTGATTACAACATTTTCTTGCATTGTACTTACTGAATTGCACCTATGCAACAACAGTAGTCTTACTGAGCCTTAACTGTGGAAAAGCACATGCCTTGACCAGAAGTTAATAATAAAAATTATATCAAAGCTAGAATTAAAAAAAAGTTATTCTCTTCATATTTACTTACTGTTTAATTTTCTTTGAATTCTTGATTGTATTAAAAAATACTCTTGAGCTTTCTTAAGAAACATTTGGTTTACCTTTCTCTTTCTCTTCTTTTTATCATAACTCAAACCTTTATATAATTTATTATAATTATTTGTGAAATTAACCTTAATATTTTTCCTGTTGCATATATATTTTAATTTCATAAAAATCCTGGCTTGAAAATTTATTCATACAATAGAATAGTCATGCATTAGAAATACTTGTGACATCTAACTATAATGAATAATTAACAATGATTCATACTACACAACAATTAATTATAAACTATACTCTTAAATAAAATATTAATGACATACGATATTGCATAACAGTATATTATTCACTTATTTCTTTCTGGTCTCATTATCCACACAGACATGTGGTAAAGACAATAAGAAAAAATACATTAGTTTATTATGAAAGAACAAAACTTTAAATAAACCTATTTATTTACTTCAATGTGTACTAGGTATGGAGATGCTCGAACTGTAATCCTTCACAAAGGAAAAAAAGGATTTGGTTTTGTTCTCAGAGGAGCACAAGGTAAAATATTTTACTTTTTACTACTAGCTGTAAGTTTGTCACTTCCATAATAGTTTTTCTTATTTTATTTATTTTTTACTTTCAAAATTGTTTGCAAAGAAAAACTAAACAAATTAAAAGCTAAATCCAAATAACTGAAATGAAATACTATTCATACAACTAATATGTTCTCTGGTCTTTTTTTAATGAGTGCTTCTTAATTATTACTTAACAAATCTTAACTTTACTTACTAAAAAAAGAGATAATAATGGTAGTACTACCTTTGTGTAATGTCTGAATAATAATTTTAAAAATTAGCTGCTAGTAATATCAGTAAATTTATTAAGGTTGTATTGCTGTGATAAACTGGAGCTTTTGCAGAAGGCTCGTAATCTGAGTTTTACTAAGCGTGGTTTGATAGTTGTGTTTCTATGAGTCAAAGTTAAAAAAGAAGGATTATATTTGAAACTATTTTGAGTCTAACATTTGTAATAGCTACAAGCCCATTAATGGAGAGACAGCCTTCAGATAACTGGCCAAGCCTGCAGTACCTTGATGATGTAGATAAAGGTGGAGTAGCTGATTTGGCAGGTTTAAAGAAAGGAGATTTTCTCTTGGAGGTAAGTGACTTATAAAAAAAATAATACAGATAATATAATTTACTCTCTGTTATTAAAGTTCCATATTTATAAATGGAAGTGAAGGTCAGTCAACTCTATATTTAAATTACAAACAGAATGTAAAAGTTCATTATGTAAAGTTGAATAATTATGATTTACTGCACTGTATGAAGACACTGCTAAAACTGTATGACTTAAATACTATATAATGGCTTATATTGTGAGGGACATTTGTGTTGAATTTATATATAGAAATTGGTTCATTCATTTTGTAACAATTTTGTTTCTCTCTATATTTTGGTTATATGTTTCTAATTTATATAATCAAAAGCCCCTGATTAAGGTGTGCAACAAAATGATAAGTAATTAAGTATCAAGATGCTTCTATGTAGTTAAATGAATTTTTTAAATTTATCTCTCAGAGACAAATAACACACATTTACTTAAAAGAGAACATAAAAACAGAACATGGAACATTATAAAATGCTGACATTTTCTAGCCTTAGTATGAATTATAATGAGATTTAAATTCATATCTACAACAGGAAAAGAAAGGGCCTGTCATTATCATAGGATAGTGCTCCAAAGTTAACATTTTCCTAAATTGATAATGTATTTCCAATAATACTTACTTTCGCTCACACTTATAGCTATTACTCGACCACCAAGGTTTCTTCCTTTGCTCATCTAAGCATTGGTTTGATTTTTTCTTGCTTGCTCCAGTCTTTCATACCCCACTCAGTTGCCCTTGGCAATATTTTTTTCATGATACTCTCCACCTATGTCAATGCACCCTCCATCCTGGTACTGTATATAAGCACCTCATTCAGGTATGTTATCACTTTTTCGAGACTGACTCAATCCCAGTCTCTAACACTGGCTCTTAGTTGGAAGGAAGAGTGTTAGAGGAGGTAAGTATCATTGGAAATACATTTTTGATTATACATACCTCCACTCCCACTTATAGCTAGAATCCCACATTGATAAGGTGGAGGGGCCAGTGAGGACATTATCCATACAGAAAGCATCTGCACTAATCATGGGTGTGTCAATAGAAGATTGGCACCCTAGTGGGGGAACTGCATTACATTCATAACATGTATGCCCTTCATCCAGAACTGAATTCCTGTATTGTAGGTGGAATTTTACAATTATTATAACTATAGGCCAGCCCCAACCAGATAGCTGAGGTTCCACTACTCGGGGTTGGAATAAGGGGTTATGGTTCCTATATCCCACATTGGTGGCTAGAGCAATTGGACCACAAACATTTTATATATATACTTATGAGTGGATCCCAACCTGTAGCCACAGAGTAATGCATTCCAAGGCACCAGAATCACAAGAAAGTAAGTGGACAATATTTCTCCTCCACCTGAAGAAGTCCGAAAGACAACACCCCAGACTTGGAATGACAAGATTGCGTATGCCTTTACTCAACCAAAGGAAATAGAACTCATCTGGTCTGGAATTATGAATATTCATCTACACTCTCCAACCGTGTGGGCAAGATACATTCCACTTGCCCCCGGAATTATGGGGAAGATTTGGAAAAATTGTGCTCAATCAAGGACCTAAAATACATGGCAAATAAGAGTCAGTTCACAAACAAGTGTTCAGAATGATCATGTAATTTAATTGTAATATACCTGATAGGTAACAGGAATAGTCATTTGGGACCAAGGACCCAAAGCAACTTGTAGAATCTGGAGAGTACTGGGGACTCAAAATAAGTAGTCATCATAATCAAATAGTAGTCAGTAAGACTGCCTTAAACAAGGCGATTGTGGAAGATGCAAAAACCTCTGCCAAAGAACCAAGGCAAAAAACGAGTTATGTGATTCAATGAAAGGCCAACCCATCAATCACAATTGCAGTATGAGAGCCACTCCACTAGAACCTTGTGATGCAGCATCCATTCTGTTTGGAGAATCTGTTAGGATTGAAAGATGTGACCTGCTATCACAGGCATTACTTTTTAAACATAGCAAGCTAGTAGGGTGATAAGATAGGAATGGTCCTAAGAAAGAAGGTCCAACTGAAAATTTGCTCTCACACCTGTCAGCCATCAAGTAAGGTGCAGGCTCAAAAGCAACCAGGAAAGGCCCAAAACACCACACACTTGAAGAACCAACAAAAGAAAACAAATCAAAGGCAGCTTATCCCAAAGTGGCTTCCCTTTCGTTTATCATAGGTCATTTAAAGACTGTGTTGATTACCATTGATTGGAACAGCATTTTGGGAGGTAAATTTGTTAGAGCAAAGTAACATTGGGCCATCATCCACATCCATCCTAAGGAACCAAACCCCAGACCTCAGTGCTGTGAGTCTATAAACTCACCACTGTCCCACAGGGAGACTGAAAAACCAACAGGCTAAAAGAAGGCACAGGAAAAAGCAAATCTAGTATCTCCAGAATGTTATCTAGTCTCTCCAACTGTAATTAGATCTCATATTGGTCAAGAGATTATGAAGCTATGAGCTAAAAGTTTGTACTTGAAGAAAAAACTTGGAGCCATTTCATGAGCCACTATGCCATGGCTAAAAATGGTGTTATGGCATACTGGCAAAGAAAAAAAGCTATACTGCTGCAAAACTCCCTACTCATGCCTATTTAGCTTTAGTGTTTCCATTGCTGTAGCATGACTATGTTTTACATCATGTCAAACAACATTCCACCCACCTCTCCAAATACATGCATATTGCACCTTTTCCAAACCACTTTAAACACTCCAAATATACAATATAACAAGAAGTTCGATAACTGGTCTTGGCTTGAATCTAATTCAGTATTGCCACTAGTACATACTGCCAAATGGTAAGAAATGTTAGACCTCAGACAGTCAGATTTACTCACTTTCAAATGAGTCAGGTACCAAGAATAAAGGTTACAGGCACCCCTTTTCTGTACCAAACTAGCCTCATAAATGTTCCTTTCATTATACCCCCCAGTGGCTCGTTGGTAAGTCTAAGACCTTATAACACTAAATATTGAGTTTTGGTACCTGAGCTAATCAGAAATAATGATGTTTCTGTAATAGCTCTGTCTCCTGAATTGAATGGTTACCCATTAAAGATAACCTGCTAGGCACTGCATTTTAGAAAAAAAAAAAAACAGAAGCAGAGACAGTCATAAATGTTTCTGTTAACCACAGATGTGAAATTTCAAAAGTTATGGTTGCATTTATGTAGTGTAAACTATAGAATAATATCACTGTTGTGATTAAATGAATTATCTGTCCTCAAGTTTTTAATCAGGCTCTCAAATTTTATATTTTAACATCAGATCAATGGGCAAGATGTTTCTCAAGCCCCACATGAAAGAGCTGTAGCAATAATACGTCAATCTGGAGATTTAGTTGCTATGACAGTGGTTTCAGTTCAGACGCAGCTTGCCACAAATATAAGTGATAAATCAGCTACTGCTCAACGGCAGTGTGCCACACTACCTCGTAAACTCTCACTCAAGAAAGGTACAGTAAATGTGTCAACTTCCTTGCTTAAATATGGTTGTTAAACATGGGATTTATTTTGAAACTATATACTTCAATTTTCGAATAAAAAATTTTATTGTACATGAGGTTGTGTCAGTATACTGTTATATTCATCAATGCATTTATATGATCAAGAATAAGACTGAGTAAATATAGTGACAGCTGTGAGAAAAAATTAACTTAATGTTAATGTTGACAAAGACATAAGTAATAAGTATTACAAGCAAGAATGTTTTTTAATTAATATTTTGAAAATTCCATTATATAATCTATTTCTATAGCTCCACCACCACCTAAGCGTGATCCTCGAACTACTCTTTCTGTTGGAAGGGCACGAGCACGTTCTCTTGTGGCTGGATTAGCAGAAATAGGTAAGTTTATCTGGTCTTGCTTTTGTTTATTCTGTTTTGTAGCTTGAAGCTAATGAATAAGGTTCCTAGAACTTAGATTACTCTACAAGGATATTTATTATAAGAGTTGCACTAAAAAAATAACTGCTGAGGTGTAGAATAATTTTGCAATACTGGTTCTATTCTAGGATTTTAACAGATCAACATTTGTGTAGTTATGTCTGTCTTTTATGAAATATTTATGTATATGTATCTTCGTTAGAATTGGAAAGGCACAGAGCTTAATGTGATATAAGCAGATAATTAATTTTTTATCACAATATATAACAAGAGAAATGTTTAGTCGATAATTAATCATGTTTAAAATGTTATATACTAAAGTGAGGCACAGAAATGTATCAAACATTTTGAGTGCACTAAATTTTACAGTTTGAAAAATTAACATAAAATACCCATGCTAGGTTCAAAGGCCTTCTCAATGTGTACCAATCAAGCTTTTTCATTATCTTCAATTACAAAAAAAAAAGTACATTTGCCAGTTTGGGTGCTGTTAGTGTGTGAGTAGGATTATGAGCACAGTTTCAAAAATAGCACCCCAGAATCTTAGGGGGGGAGCAGAAATACAAAATTTTATGATAGATTTGAGTTCAGCAACCTTGCAAACCTATTTCTAGACTTCATCCTACTACCCAGGTTATCTTCCAGGCAAGTTTTATCCCTCTTGGTACTCCAAGTAAATAAGGGTAGTGGTAGTGCTGCACTATATAAATAATGACACTCCCAGACAACCCCGGGTCTGCCTGCCATGTTTGGTCCTACTATTTTCAAAACTGTGGGAGGAGTTTGTGGACAAGCAAGTTGTCAAACACATAATATGAACTAATATACGATATAATTTAATAACTTGAAAACATAGATTATGAAAATATATTTTAAATGATAATATTATGTCTTCTTTCTTAATAAAGATTAGACTACTTTTTAGTTCATGATATTGGTACATTTCATTTTTTTACAAATTAATTCTGTTTAACTTAAACTAAGAATTTTGTGAAGCATTATTGTAGTTTTTTTTTTCATAGAGATATAATGTTCTTTGTTATGTAAAATAAAAGTTTCTAAAAATATTTTCAGTTAATATACTACTCAGAGTACTTTTCTGTTACAGAAATGCTTGACAGAACAATAAATGAATATGATTCTGAAGGAAGATCTACAAAAAGTAGTTCCATTGAAAGTATTCCAAACAAGCCAGGGAATGTCATAGCAGAAGGGACCAACAAGATTGCTTCTATTCGTTCTCGGCTGAGTTCTCGACGTATCTCCACAGCAGAGTTGGAAGATATTTTTTCACGGCAAGGAGAAAAGAATCTTGTAGGGCATTCTGTTACAATGTCAAAAAGCATATTTTCTTCAGCTAAAATGCCAAAGGTTTATGGTAGTGTGGCAGCAATGAAACGTTCAAAGGCTACACGTTCAAAGGCTTCTGACATAGTGAAGCTACACAAAACATTCCATAGCACACCAGACCTAAATGCTGATGTATATGAGGTGGATGTGACTGAAGATATGAATTATTACAAGCAGAAATGTTATAGCCAAGAAGACATCCATGCTTTGAATGTTAAAAACAGTAGACATTCATGGGCTTGTCCTCCACACAATTACAAAAAACTTTTTGCTTCATCAATCCATGAACATTTTGCTTCTTACCATGAGGCTCGGAGATCTAGTGAAGATTTGTATAACCAAGTCATTAATACAAAAAAAATAGATATTTCAACAAAAGTTCCTTCCCAGATTTATGCAGAAACTCTGCCTATCCATCAGAATGAAAAAGTACTGGTACCACCAAGAAACAAGTGCCCTCCTCCAACACACCGTCCACCTCCGCCTCCAAAAGGACAAGTGGTAAAAGTTGATGTCTCACGATCATTAGGGGAATATGCTAATATCAGTGCTGTTAGAAAACAGGACTCAGTTGTCATGTCAAGTTTTCGTCCTGGAGATAGTGCCAAACTGTATGCTTCTCCAGAATCACTGATGCCTGTTGCTTACAAAACAAAAACTGAGACTCAAAAGTTTGATCATTCTTGCCCACAAAAAATTAGTGTGAGCTCCACTCTTAGATCTCATTCCTTGCCTCCAAAAATGCCAGTAAGAAAACTTATATCTACTCTAAGTAATACCTCTTCTGAAACAGAAAATAGTGGGGACTCTGGAGGAATATACTCCACTTTTAGATTACACCACAGACTAAGAGATTCTTTATCTTCTGATAGTGGGTTGATGTCTGATAAAGGAAATTTAAAACCATTTAAATGTCAGGCTGCTAGTGAAAGCTTTAACCATGCAGATATTTCATATTCTCGTAAGGCTGTATATTCCAAATCTTCTGAACCTTTCATTCCAGAACCTGATTATGATAATAGTGATGAAGAAGGTTGTCTTTTTTCTGAAATCATAAGAGATAGCAAGACTTTTATTCAGGAGAAAGTAGAAAATACAGTTAATGATTCAAGTTATTCTCAGCTAGAAAGTGCACACACAGAAGCAAAACAAGCCATCCAAGAAGCAAGAGAAAGACTCAGGTTTACTCAAAGACAAAAAAATAAAACAACCAACTCCATTCATGAGTCCAATACTAATACTACTGACACCAAACAAGTGGCCAGGATTTTTGATGAAAAGCAAATAGAAGATGGACATACAGGAATGATCTCATTGAAAAGTTGTAAGTTTAAAGTTGAAGATAATTCAAAACAATCGGAGATCAGTAGAGAAACACACAGCGTGAAACTCAATGCTTTGATGCATTCTATGTCTGATCAACATGCAGACTTTACAAAAAATGGTTCCAAAGACTTGTGTCTTATGGAAGGAGCACAGAAAAATCATAACAAAGAAGTATGTTTAAGTTCCACTTCAAACTTAGTAAAAGAGAACATATCCGCTTTTGAACAGAAGAATTTCTTTCATAAGTCAGCTACTTTACCTTCCAGGAGGAATGATGGTATTCGTATAGCACTGACTGCAGCTCAGAATAATACAGAAACTAACCACCATCAAGTATCCTTGCCTTTCAGTACTCTAATGAGGCCATCTAAGTCATTTCCTAAAAATTTTGTTTCTGAAGATCTTGAAAACTATGAAAACAGTTCTAGTGGTGTCTCATCAGATGTGGAAGTCCAAAACGAGTTTGCTATTTCTGGGATTTCATCAGAGAATGGCCAAATGTCAAAAGAACGAGACATACAAAACTTTTCTGTCGAAAAAAGTATTACTGGCGATAGCAGTTCCCAGTTAGATATGCCAAATAAACAAAATTTATTGAGTCAAAGAGATAAATTGAATAAAGAAAAGGATAGTTCTTCGACTGTTCTTATACACAGAGTCAGCCCTACCAATATACCTATTTTTAATCAAGAAACTGTACCTTGTATTAAGAAAAGTGATTCTAGTTTAAGACAAAATCAGAACTTCAGCTCAGCAGCTAAGCTAAGTAGAACTCTACAAAATGAAAATGTCAGTAAATATCAGTGTTTTATTGTTGATGAGACAGGTATAAAATATAAAAGTGTCAATTGTGAAAGGACTCTACTGGATAATAAAATGCATTTAAGGAAGGATGAAGATAAGAATTTAAAGGTGAATCAAAATACTGATGAAAATCTTCAACTGATAAGGCTTCAGGTAGACTCCTTAGGTCGAGCAGCTGTAAATGAGGTAGATGTGCTCACAGAACTTGTCCCTCCTCCTCCTGAGTTTGCAGCAGCATCTTCTTCATCCAGTTCCTCTTCTACTAGTTCTGCTGTGCGGTTTCCACCAACAATAGCACCACCGCCTGAGTTCTGTGACAGCAGTGCACGAAAAGCTTTTAGTAAAGCTCTGCCTTATGTCCAAAACAAAGTCCAAAACACTTCATCCACTGCTAGTGACTCATATGAACAAATCCATTCTCCTAATTATCAGATGACTAATTACCCCTATAAAGACATTTCTTTTAGGACACTTACTGGTGCCAAGGTTTCCCATGCTTCAAAGCACATTGACATGATATATGTGGGTAGTCCCCCAAAACTTCAAATGCAAGTTAAAGACCCTCAGTTAGTACATCCATCTGTAAGACAGCTAGGAACCCCTGTCTTACCATATAATATCTCATCAAGTAGTGTACCCATGAATTTTGTTTCTTCATCACCAGAACGAAGCAGCATTAGTGAAACAGTCATTATGAAATCAATCCAAAAAGAATTCCGTCAGAAACCTCTCCCACAATGGAGTTGCAAAGATGTTTCAGATTGGTTAGAAAGTTTATTTTTACCCGAGTACAAGGCTCGATTTACTGAAGCAGGAATAACAGGTTTGAACTTGATGAATATAAACAATAAAGACCTTGTGGGACTTGGTGTAAAGCAGGTCGGTCATCGCCTGAATATAGAGAGATCTATAAAACGCTACATGAAATAGTACTGAACATAGTTGATATTATTATGAGAGGATTTATTTCAACATAATTGTTCATATCAAGTGCTGTCCAACATATAGAGATATATCTATGAAATTAGTTTCTTTCAGGCTATAATTGAGAAGATGTTTAGTTGGTTTCAATAGTGATGGGACAACTCTATTTTTTACATACAAAGTACAAATTTGAGAGTGCCCTTTAACTTAAAAGTATCTCATTGCATTTGTAGCATTTTGTAGATAAAGGATTTATCCTTGTAACATTTTCTTACTTTGGTTCATCAGGAAGACTTGATTATGTACTTAAAGGTAAATACGATGTGTTGTGTGGATCTCTCTCTCTCTCATAAAAAAAATAATAATACTATGATAATGATATGCTTGTATGTATCCTTGGAAACAAAATGGCAATTAATAGCTTCTTGACACATTTACTGTTTTATTTATCTGCACATACACTCATGTTGATGATACATAAATGCATATGCATAAAACTCATCATCTGTTAAAACTACATCTCTTTATGATAAAGGTTTGTTGTGTGAGGAGTTTGGGTGAAAAACAACTTTAAATAACATGACTGAAGAATAATATAAAATTGTAGTTAAGACAATTGTGCCTATGAAGGTATTCTTTGTAGCCTTTTGATAAAAATAAACCTTCCACGTGGCTATTAGCAACTTGGTTTATAATTTAATACTGAAATATTACTAGCTAATAATGGAGATTTAATTTGAATATGCTGCACTACATTTTTCAAAGAATTTAATTTTGAAGGTGAGAGCTTTTAAAAGTAAAATCAAACATGCATTACTGATTTAAATATTTAAAATTATCATTATAGCTTTTACTGGAAGATCAATTTTAATGAGCAATGGAAACCAAAAAATTAAATATATATATGTACATATTTCATGAATTGAAAAGTTAAGTGTAAAATTTAATCTTTTATTTGTTCAAACGATATTAATTAATATAGACTAATTAATTACTTTTAGTATTTTCATTATAGCACTGTGAAATGTACTCAACAAAAAAAAAACAGTCAAACAAAAAAAAAATTGCAAAACAAACTATATAATACATAATTTATGATTTTGGATTAAAGTTCAGAGGAATTAAGTGAAGAGGTCTAAGAAACACAATTAATCTATATAAGATTGAGAACAAATTAGTTATTGGTCATTGCTTTTGAAATGTAAAAAAGCGTATCCATATCTTCCACAAATATTATTTTATTGAGCTTAAAAATTCCCAGAAAATTTGTCTATAGTTGTAAAACAGTGTTCACACTAATAATATCAGATTATACTTTTATCTTCTTTCAGAGCTATAGGCTTAAAAACAGTAAATGTTCAATGCAACTTAAATACATGATAAGAAAACTCAATTGAAATTCCAGAATTAACTTAATCATAACATAAAGTAAGTTTGCCAATCAAATGTTACTTAATGGTTCACATTATGAAATGTTAAAATATAACATAAAAGTTTGATTTGTATGGAATTTTTTGCATTTCTCAGTATTGGGTTCCAACCAATATATATAAAATGCCAGATTAGTATCTTTTGCAAGATACGTTTTAAGAGGAATGCAAAAAAAAAAAAAACCTTTAAAGTTTACTAGAATATAACTTATATCTATTCTTTCCTGAAGCATGCTCACATTGATGTGTCTGTGTAATTAGTCATTTCTGATTTAAATGTTATACCTGTAAAGTAATTACTGTATCATGTAAATATAATATAGGCATATGGTATTTTCAGTAAGTTTATTTAGAAATATTATATTACACTATGCCTCTATACACAATTCCACTTGAATTTGTACTAATGTATATGCTTGGTTTAATATTTATAATGTTTACATTTAATTGCACCTGTAAAAGTTTTCATATATAAGTTTCTATGGTTGAGGCCATTAATTTAAGCTATCATTTATTTTTTTATTTTGGAACTGTAGATCCATTTGTAATGACTTTATTGTGGCTTTGCAATGAAATTTGTATTACTTTTAGATTGTAAAGAGTTAATAAAATGTGAAAGATTTTCTCCAAACATTTTTACATTTCAATTCTGAATAGTTTATCTTTAATAGTTTTGTCTTGAATACCAGAATAATATTAAGAATACATCATTTAAGAAACATATCTTTAAATGATGATAAGCTGCTATCTATGATAGTGTTAAAAAATTCTAAATAGTTTTAACTCCAAGTATCTTGTAATGCATAAAACTAAAAATACAGTTTCGATAATTATTTGTATGAAGTGAGATAATATCCCTACAAAGTAATTCATTTTTAATGACCTGTTGATCTTTTTTTTTTATTATTTACTGAAATAATCACTGTACAAGGTTTTGTATATTAAATTAAAAGAATTTAGTTGTTTGGTGTTACTTATGTTTCCCCCAACAAAAATATTTGAGAAAACGTGTTTTCCTCTTCTTGTGCTTTTTAAAATCTTCCCATACCCATTAGGCTTTATCTGTTTTGTTTTTTTCTGACTGAAGTATATAATATTTCTTCATTGGCATTTAGCTTGAGTTCTTTAAATGAAATGTTTAAGAGATATTAAAGAAACTTCTAAGCATGCTACTAGTAATTTTCTCTTGGTTTTGTTCATTATAAGTGGACAATGTTCTATAAATTCTTGTTTGAGTTTGATTTCACTCATGTATGTTATATATGTTTCTATCTTAAGAGGAGACTTTGATGTTTGCAACCAAGTATAATTCTTGTTAAATAGTCTAAAGATCTAGCTATTATTCAAAGCAGAGGTTACACAAAAATAATCTGTGTTTTGGTAATTAGGATGTGGTGAAGAACACTTTGTTTAATTACACACTTCATAAATGAAGGATTTCAAAACACTTATCAATAAAAAGGAATTTGAACACGTACTTTGTTACCAATTTTACCAGAGAAGATGTTTATGTTTTATCTTAAAAACACAACGTTAAACATATACAGTGAATACAGATATTCTCATTTAACTTAGTAATGACAAATTTCCTTTTGTACAAAATTAAATTATGATATATAAATTTTTCTGTTACAAAGTGTTAGAAAAATTATGAATAAAAGTGTTCATGTACTTGTGTTTTTCAAGCATTTTCTAATATCAGGTAATAAAAAGCTGTTGGAGAGAATTTTGAGCTCTGCAAATAGAAAATATTTACTAAATAGAGAATTGATGTGAACAATTAAAGTGTTAGACCCTCTTTATATAGTTAATTGTTCTCAAGAAGTTAACTTCTTATATTGTACCTGTAGTAGTGATACTATGTATTTAACAATGATAACCAGTTTTAATATTCCCTACACTGAAGGCACACACCCATAAATTTTAATTGCTGCCTCTAAAGACTCATTTATGAGATCCAAAATAAGACAGACTTTATGAGTGTTATACAGAATTGAACACAATTATAAGTGTGGTAGTACTTATAATAGGAATGAGGTGGATACACAATACATGCAATACAAACTATTAACTTATATACACCATTAACAACAAATAATAATTCTTCAAAAGTACTTGAAAGACACCCTTAGGTGATAAACAAACTACGTATAAAATTATAAGTCACAGAAATACTTAGGAAAGTCAGCAGAGCAGATACAAAAAATTCACAAAACCACAAATTTCTCAATCTCGCTGACTGACTGACACTGTTGAATGCTTTTTACCATAGCTATAAGTACACCAAATAAAACAATAGCACAGGGACTACATTCTAGTGCTAGTGGTTTTCTATACTAAATGTCACCAAAAAGGGACACCATTTTAAAGTACATATGTTCACTCACTCACTCCATATACTGAGTAGGTAAGGTCAAATGAAACAGTGAAGGAGGTGTGGTCTTTTTGATCTACAGTACTGTGTGACAAGATCTGAAAACTGAGAGTAGTATGGAGTATGTCAAAGTATGGTGAGCCTTGAGAGAAGCTTCACTATTTAGGCGAGAAGACAAACTTTTGCAAGGTATTTATAATAAGTATTGTAAATTAAATCAAGTTGCATTCATGAAGCATTTAATACTATCGTGAAAGTCTACAACTAGTTCAAACTGGTTGCTGCATATAAAACTTGGTTGGAGAGTGTTGTTTCCAGTTTTTTATTGTGAAAAAATTATTCAAATTGAAAGTGTTATAAGTGTTTATAAGGTGAACTCTAATTGCAAGGCTGAATCAGTCAGCTCTTGTGGATGGGTAATCATACACTAAAGGTGAACTATTTTTATATATAAATTATTTTGTTGAGCTTGAAATAATCACTACATTTGTTTTGGTTGAACTGGCATTGCATCTATATCAGCTGGATTTCTTCCATTTGTGCTCAAGTGAGACTGTAATTCTGTCTGATTGTGGTACTAATTGTGTCAAACAATCCTCCCATTCAACTAAAAATAAATTGAAACTTTTTTGTGCTCTGTTTACCTGGTGGTATACCTTACATGAATAGTACCTGTTTCTTTTATAAATGCCAACCTGCATTATGCATTACCAGTTTTACCTAAATGAAATTGTAGTTATTGTTTGAACTAGATGATGTAGTTAATTAAATTAATTATCTAATTTATCAACCTATAGTATATGCACACAACCACAACTACATCACCCAAATGACATTGCACACTAGAGTGTGTGCCATTACAGGTATAGCACACATGCACACTCATAATGCATAAGTGAAGAGAATGCACACCACATACACCATTATTTGCACATACCATAATATTACAGTGCACATCCATACTGATGATATACATGAACTGTGAACATTATAAATGAAAGATCATGTTTTCACTCCATTAAAACTTTATTGGTTTAGTTTGAATTTTCCACAAAGCTACACGAGGGCTATCTGCATTAGCCATCCCTAATTTAGCAGTGAAAGACTAGAGGGAAGGCAGCTAGTCATCACCACCAACTCTTGGGCTACTCTTTTACCAATGAATAGTGGGATTGACTGTCACATTATAATGCCCCCACAGCTGAAAGGCTGAGCATGTTTGGTGTGGTGGGAATTCGAACCCACGACCTTCATATTGCGAGTAAAGTGCTCTAACCACCTGGCCATGCCAGGCCTATTAAAACTTTATACAAATATATAATCAGATTTATCCAAGACCTATCTAAAACAACTTTGTAGTATGTCTTAAAAAAGTAAGCTAATTATATAAATTGGAACTTAAATAATTTAGAACTTGGGTAATATATGCATTACTGAAAACAGTTTGGTATAACAAACTGATTAGAAATCTATGAAGTTATAAATCAATAAATCTGAAAATTCAAACCCATTCATAAGCATTGTTCACTTGTTCAATCTTACTTGACCTAGTTTGAGTAGCATGCAATCACATTCTCAGTTAGTGACCAATATTACTGTAAAAGCTTCATTTATAACTATTTTTAAATTTACCCTTTGCTTATTTCAATTTTCCAAATTAAATAAATAATTTATTTTATGTATTACATTTCCTAATTTAATCTTTAACTCGTTCCATTCCCGCCCCTTTCTACAACTTTTTCTGCCATAAGAAATTTAACTTAAGATTACCTTCTGTTTTTTTCTAAGATCCAAAATTCCATTACTTACTGTTAATATTCAATTATAGTCACTATACACCACAAAGACAACTTTCATCTATCAAACATTATAATATACACTTCTAAACATTAATGAATATCTCAATCAATATTTCAACAATAATTAATACATCATAAAAATGAAATAAGTTATGACAATCCTGCTTCATTTTTATTGTTGCGTCAGCGAGGTCACGTGACTAGTATCACGCCACTTCTTTCTCGAGCCTTCGTGAATTGTCGGGAGATTACTAGATTGGGGTAGCCTGGTATATATAAGATGGCCACAACGTGACGGGACAATGGGTAGGTAATGAATAATTGAACTGCAGTCAGAGAGTGTGTAATTGAGTATTGTCGAGCACGAGCACGTGAGAAGTTCTAGCGTTTGTTATAGAGCGACTGTTGAAATTAAGTGTATCGGTAAAGTTGTAATCGGAAAGAATAAACCAGTTTTA